CATGTGGGAGGGGAGAGCAGGGAGGGAGGGGAAAAATGAGGACCTAATGTCGGGGGTTTAAATGGAGAGAAAATGTTTTGAGAAATGATGTACAAATACGCTTTACACAATTGATGTGTGTATGGATTGGGATAACAGTTGTATAAGCCCCTAATAAAATGTTTAAAAAAAAAAAAAAGAATCCAATAACACGGAAAAAAAAAATCTAACAGTCAGTTTGTTAATGTTATTATTAAGAATGAAATTACATGTGACTTTGGAAAGATGCCAATTTAAGCTGCTCAAGTCAACTTAGAGGTGTATTTTAAAAAAATAATAAATCTGTAACAATAATGATCTCAGCAGCAGTTTTTATCTCCAGTGACTTGTGATCACATTAAAAAGTGATCTACCACAATTCTCATGTGTATTTCACCATATGTAGTGCAGTACACATGGTGGGACCCTATGAAGCACCAGCGGTGGTGCTGGAAGTGCTCCTAAGAAGCAGAGAAAAGTTAGGACTTTACAAGGGGAGAATGATATCTTGACACGTATGCCACAGGTGGAGGGCTGCATTTGTGACTACTCACCGTTTCAAGATAAATACACACAGTCTAAGAATCTTTGCTTCGAAAACAAAACCAAAAGTCTCCAAAAACAGATTTTAAAATGTCTGTGTGGAAGCTCTACCAGTAGGCAAAAAATCTCTGCTCTTTTTCTATTTTCCTAGAAAATTATTTTTTTCTCAGAACATAAAATAGATTGTAAAAGAGATATTCAAGTCCATCTCTCCAAATATCGAATGCATATATAGTTTTGTATTATAACTAAAAATAGAAATAGAAGCAAGGCGTATTCCTTTATTATTAAGAAAATGTTTACTACTCTTATAATAAAACACTTCTTAATTAAACTATTAGAACATAGGGCGTTTCTAGTTATAATCCTTTCTTGAATGTGTGGAACACCATTTGTGTCACTTTGAAAGTGAATATTTTATGTGGATTTAGTACATTAGTATAACAATAAAGCATAAAACACATGTTATTAGTGTTTATGCTGTCAGCAAGGCTTTCAGTCAACAGTAGGCTATTGTTAATTAAGTTGGGGCAAAATTATGCATGAATTTTTGACTGGACTCAGGTGGTGCTGCTCACCCCCTATTACTTAAGGGTCACTTGTGTATGTTTAACTTTAATCCTTGATTGTTTGTTCTTCATATATGTAGAAAAATGAGTTTTTGTTTTCTCTTATTAAATTATTTTTATTACTGATCTTGAATGATTTCTAATCTTATTTCCAATATTATTTATAGTCATTTGCTGGGGGATTTCATAGGATTTATTACATATATAACCACATAACCAGTATATATCACACATATACACTTTATTTTATAAACTATATGTCCCTCTTTATTCTCTCTCTCTCTCTCTCTCTCTCTCTCTCTCTCTCTCTCTCTCCTGGCTGTCATTGTTATTTGCTTGCACTGGATAGAACTTCCAGTACTACTCTGAATTACAATCTCTAGAAGAAACATTCTTGCCAGAGTCCAAAACTAGAGGAAAGCATTCCATTTTTTAACACTAAATATGATGTTTGCTTAATTAATATAAGTAGTATGTCAGCTTTTCTTTTCTCAAAATGTTTTTCTTTACATAAAATTCACATAACATACAAGGTAATCATTCAGTCATATTAGTAATTTAGGATTCTGATAGGAAATAATTTTTATTGTGGATGAGTTGATAAGAGAAGTGCAGAAGCATCATAGAGAGTTATCTCACAAGAATATAAAATTCAGTAACAAGTGTATAGTAGCACTACACGAGATTGCTAGGCCAACAGGTAGGTCAAATAGCTAAGTACTTGACAACTATCTAAACATTTTACAGTGGTATCTCAGGATATGTGATAGCTACATAATCTGGTGTCAGTTTGAGGATTAAGAATGTAGGAGTGGAGTCTATCTGTTAATCAGGATATAGCCAATGAGGCCTCTGTGTGGTCATGTCCTACTCCTGAGGTTTCTAGGAGCTCCTATATTTCTCCCTTATAGGTAGGAGACACTCTATCTGCTCACTCCCTGGCAGATGTTGTAGCTGACATGATACAGGGAGCTACACTAGGGCCCTGAGCTGGAAAAGCCACGTGGAAACCCCTGCCAGCACTGAGAAGCTTCCACCACCAATGGATCCATAAGACTTCTGCCCCACTGGCCTGTGATCTTCCTGCATTCAGTATCATTGCATGTGTTTCATGAGTCTGAAGATGATTTTATAGATTGGTATCGGACATATGGGCTGATATCAGACTTATGAACTTGATCTGGACTGGGCTGGGGTGTTTTCTCAACATTTAATTAGTCTTGCATATAAAGGTCTTTCTTATACACATATGAGTCTCCCTTGATTTGTTTCTCTAATCTACCCAAACTAACACAGGCTACTAATCTGTTGATCTGTTACTGAAAGATCCCTAAGGAGCAGTTTAACTTGGAATACACGGAGTTGCTTAGCTTCAGATTGACTCAATAACAACCAAGAACAACAACAATATAAGATTACTAAAACAATACATTTGACTCTAGGATTTTCTTCTTTGCTATAAGCATTGGAAATGAAAAATGTATGAGAGATTACAATTGTCCGTTAAATAAATTCATACATTCATCAGAAAGAAATACAGTCACAGAAACCCACACGGGCAGTTCCGCCCTGTTCTACATGGTATCTCTGTTGGAATGGACTCAATGTCAGTGACTCAATCTGACTCAGAAAAGGAAGGAAACATTTCAGGGCCATGAAATATCTAAAATATGAGAGCTGCTGAACCATGGATGACGGAGTCCTAGTACAACCCTTCAACTTAGAAACAGACAATTTCCGGCTGTCATTGAGGGGAAGGTACAGCAAATAGACTAGCTTGATGGTTGCTAGGAAATCCAACAAAAGCGCCTTGAATGAATCAGCTGTAAGCCAGTCTTATTCGTCTCTTAGGCAATGTATCCTCTAAGAAATGAAAAATAGTGGTTTTCTAACCATTACAGTAAAATAGCATAATAATGATGTAACCAATAAAGAAAAATAAACTTACTAAATTAAATAATAAAGGTTCAAGCAGAGTAATTGTCGTCAGGTGCCATCAAGTTGGTTTCAATCCAAAGCAACCCTGTGTACAACAGAATGAACACAACCTGTGCCTGTATCATCCTTATAATTGTTCTTATGTTTGAACCCATTGTTGCAGCCACTGTGTTAATCTATCTGGTTGAGGGCCTTCCTCTTTTCTGCCCATCTATATTACCGAGTACAATGTCTTTCATCAAAAATTGGTCTCTCCTGACAACATGTCCAAAGTATATGAGACAAATCTCTCCATCCTTGCCTCTAAAGGAACATTCTAGCTGCATTTTACCTAGTGAGATTTGTTTGTCCTTTTAATACCCCATGGCATTTTCAATATCCTAGTCCAGCACCATAATTCAAACATGTATTCTTCTTCAGCCTTCCTTATTCAATGGCCAACTTCCACATTCATATGAGGCAACTGAAAATACCATAGCTTGGATTAGACTATAACTTGAGTTGTGTCCCTTAGTATTCAAAATAATCTCCATGCTTTTCAACACTCTATCTTTCTTTTTTTTTTTAAATCATTTTATTAGGGGCTCATACAACTCTTATCTCATTCCATACATACATCAATTGTGTAAAGCTTATTTGTACATTCACTGCCCTCATCATTCTCAAAACATGTCCTCTCCACTTAAGCCCCCGGGCCTTAAGCAGCTCATTTACCCAATGCAATACATCATTTGATCTCCTGGCTGCTGTTTCTATTCATTGATTGTGGATTCAAGAAATATAAAATCCTTGACAACTTCAATCTTTTCCCATTTATCTTGAGGTTACCTACTGGTGTAGTTGTGAGGGGTTTGGTCTTCTTTACATTGAGTTGTAATCCATACTGAAGGCTGAATTCCTTAGTCTTCTTCAGTAAGTGCGTCAAGTCTGACTCACTGTCAGCAAGCAAGTTTGTCTCATGTGCATATTGCAGGTTGTCAATATGACTTCCTCCAAACCTGATGCTACATTTTCATATAATACAGCTTCTTTAATTATTTACTCAGAATACAGATTGAATAAGCATTGTGAGAGGATGCAATCCTGACACACACCTTTCTTGATTTTAAAGCTGCAGCTTTCCCTTGATCTGTTTTCACAATTCCATCTTGATCTAGCCTCACCTTGATCTAGCAGGTTTTAAACTGCTGACCTTGTAGTTAGCCACCCAATACGTAACCACCACCACACCATGGATACTCCCTAAAATAATAAATAATAATAATAGTAATATATATATATTTAAAAGTCTCACTGCCAATGAGTCCCTTCTAATAGGACTGGGAAGGAGTGTTCTTGGGTGTTTCAAAGACTGTAAGTCTTTACAGGCGTAGAAAGCAGCACCTTTTCCAATAGAGCAGCTGGTGTATTTGAACTGTGAACTGTGCAGTTAGCAGAACAATGCATTGTTCACTAGGCCACAAGGGCTCTGGACTCAGCATTATAGCTAGTGTATATTTAGTGTTTACTATACTCCAAACACGGCTTGTATTTTCTTATGTCATTTATCACAAACAACTTGAAGCCAACTCGCAGAGAAAATGTTTCTTTATCACCCCTTCTGTAGATGACACATGGGACTTGGAATGTTAAATAACCTGTTCAAAAATATATCTAAGTTGGTGATTAAAAATTAACATAGTTTACATTTTTAAATCCAGCCTAAGGGTCAAATCGTGAGAGTAGCTTTATTAGAGCTTACCCATATATTCGATAATCTGAAAGACAAATACACTTTCATGAACTTCAATTTTCAGGAGGCTTTGTAGAATTTTATATAACAAACAAGAATGAAATTTAGTGGTGAAGCCTGAGCAACTCACACGACTCTTTCTCACACATTTGTTGACATTCTTTGATTAGTTGAGAGATAAAATTTCAACATGGGGGTTCCTCTGCGCCGCAGCCCACGCCGTCGCCACCACCGAGCCCGCTGCTACCGGCTCCGAGCAGAGGATGGCTGTCCCTCCCACGTACATTGACCTTGGCAAACCTGCTCGGGATGTCTTCACCAAGGGCTATGGGTTTGGCCTCATAAAACTGGATTTGAAGACAAAATCCGAGAATGGACTGGAATTTACCAGCTCCGGCTCAGCCAACACCGAGACCAACAAAGTCACGGGCAGTCTGGAAACCAAGTACCGGTGGACCGAGTACGGGCTGACGTTCACCGAGAAGTGGAACACAGACAACACTCTGGGCACCGAGATCACTGTGGAAGACCAGCTGACCCACGGACTGAAGCTGACCTTTGACTCGTCCTTCTCCCCAAACACTGGGAAAAAGAACGCCAAAATCAAGACGGGGTACAAGCGGGAGCACGTCAACCTGGGCTGCGACGTGGATTTCGACATCGCCGGGCCTGCCATCCGCGGGGCTCTGGTGCTGGGCTACGAGGGCTGGCTGGCTGGCTACCAGATGAACTTCGAGACCGCCAAGTCCCGGGTCACCCAGAGCAACTTTGCGGTTGGCTACAAGACGGACGAATTCCAGCTTCACACCAATGTGAATGATGGGACAGAGTTTGGCGGCTCCATTTACCAGAAGGTGAACAAGAAGTTGGAGACTGCTGTCAATCTCGCCTGGACAGCCGGCAATAGCAACACCCGCTTCGGAATAGCAGCCAAGTATCAGATCGACCCTGACGCCTGCTTCTCGGCAAAGGTGAACAACTCCAGCCTGATCGGTTTAGGCTACACTCAGACCCTAAAGCCAGGCATCAAGCTGACACTGTCTGCTCTGTTGGACGGCAAGAATGTCAACGCCGGTGGCCACAAGCTTGGTCTAGGACTGGAATTCCAAGCATAAACGAATACTGTACAATCATCTAATTTTAAACTATTTTGCAGCATAGCTACCTTCAGAATTCTAGTGTACCTGTTAATGTTGTATGTCTGGGATGCAAGCATCGCTCAATATCATGTTAGACCTCCAGGTGACAGCGGATTCAGCTTTAACGTGTTCCCCTCTCTGAGGTACAGAAGAGACCCGGCTCCAAAAAAAGGTCTTTCAGCTGTAGCCTTTGGGGGGCGGTGGACTGGGTGACTCCCTTCTAGAGATGTCAGGTTTCTTCTTGATCTAGAAATGGCTGCGAGGGAAGCTGATCGTGTGTAGGCACGTTGTCAATTCACAGTGAGTCATGAGTGAAACCACCACTTCCTGAGAGTCCAACCTTGCTTTGCTAACCCGAGCGCTCGTTGCTTGATGGTGTGGGCACACCCAGCCGACAGGGGCTTTTGAAGACCCATCCTCATGACCTGTTTCCCCCCAAAGGCCATCACCTCTTTACACCAAAAGTACTCTGCTGGGTGTGGTAGCTGATTTGTGTGTGTGTGTGTGTGTGTGTGTGTGTGTGTGCCATTTTGGGGTGAAGAAGGTAGGTGTGATGAAGCCAATAATCCAGGACTTACCCCCTCTCAAGTTGTGGTTTAGTGTCCTTGCACCAGAGTGTGGACTAGCTCCCAACACCAACAACACCCCGGCTGGCCGCGAGCTGGCAAGGTCTCGGTCACAGGAACCACACGGCGACCGCACCCAGAACCTCAATTGGGCTGTGGTGTCTTCTCCACTCAGTTTATTTTTTAGCCGTTTCATGGGTACATTTTAGAGTCTTCCGTTTTGTGTGGAATTAGATCCTCCCCCATCAAATGCTGTAATTAACATCACTTAAAATGAAACTTGAATAAAATATTGAAACCTCATCCTCTTTCTGTTGTCCTTTTTGACACAAGTGTACATAAAGGAAACGGAGCTCCCTCCCTTGCTTGCTGTGTGTACGCTTGCTCTGAGTCTTGGATACGAGTGATGCTTGGTTGCTGCTTAACAGATAACCACAAACCTAGCAGCTCAGAGCCGCACTCATTCCTCA